GTTCTCAGGGGCGGAATCGGGGATCCGGCCTCCCTCACTGCCCGTCGTGCCCTGGTCTGTCTTACTGGGTCAATTTTTAGAGCTTCCCAGCCTGACCAGCAATTCCGATGACAGCCATACTCTCCTACCGTGTTTCACATGCGGCTGCCTAGAGTCCACAGCCGTGACCCATCTCTTACCCTCCTGCTCATCTGCCTGTGACAACACAGGAAGGAGGCTTCCGTTCTCTGCACCTTCAGAGTGGCTGTCGAGGTGCTAGGTTTTCCCTTAGGCCCGTGAAAGCGGTGGAAGGACACGTGCGAGGACCGCAGCATCACGGTCCCGTTCGGGGATTCCGCGTGATTTCCACGTTAGGCTCAAATCGGCGCACATCCATCTCAGCCCTGATTGTCAGGTTCTTTTCATCACCACCTCCACCAATGTTGTCATTTCAGCTACTGAGTGACTGTCATTTTGTTCTTCATTTTGCACTAGAGCCCTTGCCTGGACTGGAAGAGAAACCAGCAAGTGTTGCTGCGTCCGAGGGAGGGGCATACCTCAAACAGCTACCTCACCCTGCACCTCCCCTGCAGCCCGGCTGCGCCAGGCAGAGCTCGCCACGAGAAAGGGGGACGGTGGGCCCAGAGCTCAAAAGTGACTCCTCAGAATCTGCAGACAGCTGTAAAGCAGGAAAGGGCAAGGCTGCCTGGCCCTCGGATAGCAGCTACCCGAGCCCAGCCGCGCAGGGGTGTCTGAGAGACCTCTCCACTGTGGCAGACAGAGGGACTCTGCCCGAAAACGGAGTCATCAGTGAAGCGTCTCCTTGTGGATCAGAGGGGAAGGGCCTTGGAGGCAACGGTTCAGAAAAGCCACTCTGCCCCAGAGGCAAAATGCAGGACACCATGCCATGTACAGGACAGAATGCAACCACACCTCCCCACACAGACCCCGGTCTGCTGGGAGGCACCATAAGCCAGTTCTCTCCCTTGTACGTGCCTGGCCTGGAGTACCCAAATGCAGCTGCGCACTATCACATCAACCCAGGCCTGCCAGGTTTGGGCCCTGTGGTGGGAGGGAAGGCCTCAGTGTCCCACCCTCAGCATTTCCCTCCTAGGGGCTTCCAGTCTAACAGTCCTCATTCTGGAGTCTTTCCCCGGTATCGCCCCCACCAAGGCATGAGATACTCCTACCATCCACCGCCTCAGCCTTCCTACCATCACTATCAGCGAACTCCTTATTATACCTGTCCACAGGGCTTCTCTGACTGGCAGAGACCCCTCCACCCCCAGGGAAGCCCAGGTGGGCCCCCATCTAGTCAGCCGCCCCCACCACGTTCGCTCTTCTCAGATAAGAATGCTGTGGCTAATCTGCAAGGCTGTGAGACCCTGCATGCTGCCTTAACTTCGCCAGCCCGAATGGATGCAGTGGCTGCTAAGGTTGTCCCAGCTGACGGGCAAAATCCTGGTCCAGAGGAAGAGAAGCTGGATGAGTCTATGGAAAGGCCGGAGAGTCCCAAAGAATTTTTAGACCTGGACAACCATAATGCGGCTACCAAGCGACAAAGTTCGTTGTCAGCCAGCGATTATCTCTATGGAACTGCTCCTCTGCCCCTGAGTTCAGGAATGGGTTTTGGTTCACCTACTTTTCCACCCCATGGTGTGATGTTGCAAGCGGGGCCCCCTTACACACCCCAGCGGCCAGCCAGTCACCTCCAGCCCAGGGCTTACTCTGCTCCTGGGACAGCTCACCCCCCGCACTGTCCAGCAGCTGCCCAGCCCAATGGCCTCTCCCCGGAGGGCCCTGTCTATCACTGCCAGGAAGAGGGCCTGGGTCACTTTCAAGCTGTAATGATGGAACAGATTGGCAGTGGAAGTGGATTAAGGGGACCTTTCCAGGAAATGTACAGACCATCAGGGTAAGATTGCATTAGGATTTGGGTTTTTTGGTGATTTTTGTTTTTTTCCCCGGGGGGGAGGGGAGAACAAATGGTATTCAGTGTGTATCCTCGATATTGAAAAATAATTTTAAAAAGATGTTAATTTTCAGAAGAAAAATGGCCTTAGGACCAAGAAAATCATGTCAGTCATTGAAGTTGGAAACTTAGTAGAAATTATGGTAGGCCCAGGCAGGAGGATCAGCTGAGGTCACGAGCACAAGACCCCCTCTCTGCAAAAAATAGAAAATAAGTTGGGCATGGTGGCATGCATCTGTAGTCCTAGCTACTTGGGAAGCTGAGGCAGGAGGATTGCTTGAGCCCAGAATTTTGAAGTTGCTGTGAGCTGTGATAATGCCACTGCACTCTACCTAGGGTGACAAAAAAAAAAAAAAAGAAATGCAGAAATTGGTCTTCAAGCCCAATTTTATCTTTGACATTTAAGTGGCTATTGAGTTAGATTTTGATGTGGTAAACTTGATAGCCATAGTTTGAGAGCTGTAGGCAAGGCTATCAACATTGCTGCTGATTTCAGACACTCTGGCCAAGGTAAAATCGGTCTACCCTGGGGCATAGTAGAGATCCTGTATAATATTACAGTATTGTTCCATATCTTTCATTTCTTCCCCAATCATTGAATAAAAAAGGGGTTTATCCAGAATTGGAACAAGTCAGCTACTACCTCCATGAGACTTCTTTCATTAACATACTTGTATAGTGATGCTTTTTTTTTTTTTTTTTTTTAGACAGAGTCTCACTGTGTTGCCCCGGCTAGAGTGCTGTGGCATCAGCCTAGCTCACAGCAACCTCAAACTCCGGGGCTCAAGCGATCCTTCTGCCTCAGCCTCCCAAGTAGCTGGGACTACAGGCAGGCGCCACCATGCCCGGCTAATTTTTTCTATATATATTTTTAGTTGTCCAGATAATTTTTTTAGTAGAGACGGGGTCTCACTCTTGCTCTGGCTGGTCTCGAACTCCTGAGCTCAAACGATCGTCCCGCCTCGGCCTCCCAGAGTGCTAAGATTACAGCCGTGAGCCACCACGCCCGGCCTATAGTGATGCTTTTAAGACCCAGTTAGGTGATCTGCTGTCCAGGAAGATTTCAAATTAATGATATGTAGAAGATGGTTAGATGAAGTTATTTATATTAAAGTTATAAAGCCTAGTCTTCAAACCAAGACCATTCAGCATAAAAACTGTTGTGCTGCTTCTCCATTTAACATTTTGCCAGGATCCCAAAGTGCTGGGATCACAGGCGTGAGCCGCCACACCGGCCTCTCATGCTTAGATTAAACGCTGGTCAGGAATATTCACAGGTGGTGTTGCTTGCTTCTTACTGCATCACACCAGGACAGATCGTCCCAGTATCGATGTCTCCGAGTTTGATCACCTGGATAATTAAGGCATTGTCTTCATGATCGAAGTGTCTCTCTCTCCTTGTGATTGATATGTCTGCACTGATTCTTAATGATTCCTTTCCTGTGGCTGCAGAGCGCAGATGCATCCGGTCCAGTCGCAGGCCTCCTTCCCAAAGACCCCGGCACCAGCGGGATCGCAGGAGGAGCTGCCACCGCCCAAGCCCCCAACACTTCCTCTGGATCAGGTAAGAATTTTTAAAAATTAAAGCTTTTCTTATTCCTCCACGTGGTAGGAAATAAGTACATGACCTCATTACTATTATGAAAAAACATTTTAATGTGTCCTACTGATACAGGAAGTTTTCCTGAAAAACGCTTCATGTGCTACAGGCAATCCAGGTAGAGTCCCCTGAGGCTGTGTTCCCCCCGCTGCCTGGACACCCAGAAAGGTCACGAGCAGAGGCCACAGAAGTGACTTCTCTTGCATTCCTTTTACTTTTTTTTTTTTGAAGACAGGGTCTCACTGTCTTGCCCAGGCTAGAGTAGAGTGCAGTGGCATCATCATAGCCCACATCCTTGAACTGCTGGGCTCAGGTGATCCTCCTGGCTCAACCTCCCAAGTAGCTGGGACTATAGATGAGGAGGACACCATGCCCGGCTGGTTTTTTCTACTTTTTCGTAGAGACAGTGGTCTTCCTATATTGCCCAGGTTCCTACTTTTATGTGGTAACTAGCTGTCTGGAGAATATTTAAACCACAATTTTTCCAAATCCGTTACCAACATTTCTTCTGCCATGATCCCTTGTCTATTTTATCCTTCCCACCTACCTCGTTTGGGAGAGACTAGCCGTTCAGGTTTTAGGATGATAGCAGCTGCCTCTGAGTGCTGCTGCTCTGCCAGGAACTGTGCTAAGAGCTTCCTCATGCAGTGTCTCATTTAACCCTTTCCTCAGCCCCGTAAAGTGATCGCCGGCATCACCCGCACCGTTAGCATTTCCTAGTGTGTGGGAAACGCTGCCACTGTCTCCGTGGGGCTGGGTCTGCAGCCGGAAGCCCAGGGTGCCCGAGCCCACCCTCTGGACGGGGACGGTGGCCGGTGAAACACATTCAGCCTGTTCCCCCAGACGCAGAGCAGCACGGACAGCGCTTGGCTCACTTTTTTAACAGCTCACACAATTTTTCATATTCTTTAAAATGTCTTTGTTTTCTCTGTTTCTCTCAGAGCTAGTCCAAGGAGGGGAAATAACCACCCAGGAGATGGAAAGCTGTGCGTGAAGACTGGGACATGGAGAGCTGGGGGGTGACCTTCGCCCTTCTCTGTTCCTGTCACCCTGCCCCATCCTTCACAGCGACTCACCGTCCTGGAGCCGTTCACCGGGCCGGAAGCACACTCCGTAGACGACTCACACAGCCAGCAGAGGTCCTGGGTCCAGGATCACTTGTGTAGCTAGCTGGTATAGACAGTCGAGGAGAACAAGTGAACCTGGAGTTGATGGCGACTTTTCCAAATCCTGAGACTCTTTTCAGGGAAAATCACTTTAAACTTGTGGGGGAGGGTACTCAAGAATGGAGTGGTGCTTTTAAACTTTGATGAGCAGCTAAACTCAGGTATATATTTGGGGAAGGGACTACTCGTAGTATTAATGTTTTTGGAGCTGGGTCCAGTTTACAGAATTTTCATGTTGCCTTTTAAAATAATTTTTGTTGGTGGTGAATGTATTGTACATAAAGTGGGAAGGGTGGGTGGGGATGCGGAAGAAAGGGGGGTCTTTACTGTGGTGGGCACACAGCACTGGAGTGATCGTTAATCTGTTTACAATCATGTCACACTGCAGACTTTTGGGAGCTGGATAAAGAGGGTAGGAAAGGTTTACTCTTACAGTATGTCGCTGACTCTGTTTCCTTAGTGGCTGGCCAGCCTTTCAGAGCGAACGGCCTTCCTTCTAAGCAGCCTAAGAGAGAACAGTTACACTGTCCCCTGACCATTTTGTCACAGTTTGGAGGCAGAGTGCTCTCCTGTGGCCTCCCAGAAGTTTCGACCCACAAGAACGGGCTGCTCTCTGACTCTAGTGGTCCAAATCCTGTATTTGAGAAAGCGGTATCCCTGCCTGGGTTTGCCACCAGCCCTACCAGATGGTTGTAAACCAATGTCAGGAATTGGGATCACTAGAGTGTTTCACTTACTGAATCGCGCTCTTGACAGACCTGTCGGGCTGTGACCTTAGAAGGCATCTCACAGAGCGTTCGGCCTGAATCACACTTGGTGGAAGTGACTGCTCAGGTTTGTGTACGTTAGTGTCAATAAAGAAGTTGCACAGGTTTGGATAGGACACTGCATTCTATAGATTGACACTTCGAATTTAGGAATGTTTCAGTATGTATAGTTTTTATCCATTTTAAGTGAATCATAGTAAAATCAGTCATGGTGATTTAAAATAGTTATCAAGAACAAGTTCTTGGAAATTATTTCTTGTATCTGTGATAGGAAACAATTTTACAGTATTAAATTGCTTTATTACAGTTTTAGAAGTGACTGACACTGGAATCTCCCTGTTTAGCGTTCTGTATTTGATTTTAGCTAAGATGTCACCAAAGTTAGGACCCATGTTATGAACTTTTGAATATCCCACAAGGAAAAAATTATAAAAATGTCCCGAAATTATAGGGCTTGGTAAAGAATAGCGTATTTTAAGCATGCGTTTGCCATAGTAGAAAAGCCTCCATAAAATGTTAATCTGCCCTAGTTTCTTATAAATTCACTTGTGGGTGGGGGGCAGTAGAATCTTTCCCCACAATTTCAGCATCCTCAATGAAACACGCAACTGTCAACATTTCTATTTTGCTAAACATATCGTTGGGAAAGGAAACAAATCGGAAACATCCATATTACACAGATGGAACCCAAGACAGTGGTTCCAGTATAATAGTAGGAATTCATACCAGTAATGAGTGCTCATTCACCTTTGTGGTGGCTCTTTGCGCTTGGGCAGAGCTGAGCAGGGAACACAGATGCCTCTGAGGTATAAGGCACAAAAATACAAATTTTTCTCTAACGGAGACTTTAATTTTAAATTTGGAATGTTTGCAAGTGGATTGAGTTTTGAGCCTGTGTTCTCATTGGATCTTAATTGTTAGACACCTAACACTGGCGTAATCTTTTTTAGAAAAGTGTAAAAAGGTCAGATTGTGGATACGTCCTGGTCTGCCCTTGAGCTAGTATAAGCTAACATGGTCGGAACATCACTACTTCAGTTTCTGTGTGCGAAAGCAGGGAGGAGGAAAAAAATAGTCTGGGGCTGCTTAGACCTGGTCAAGGCCCGGAGTATTTGGCCACTTTCTCTTTTCCTGTTAATGCTGGTTTGAACTGGAGGCTGCTCACTTCCCCCTAACCAGGAGTACAGTAACCACAGGGCCTTTTCCCGTGGTGCTAACACTGTAGGGGTTGCTTTGTGCTGAATAACCCAGAGGCCTGGGTAGAGTGGACTGTAACTAGCAGTGGGGCTGCCCTCCTGGTATTTGAGCAGCTGTGTGCACACTGCTCAAGGTAGCCCTGTCTCCTCATTCCCCCAGCCCCCTACCTCCAATTACCTGTTGCTAGAAAGATGCTGTGAACAATGTTAGAAAAAAATCAATTAACTCCTTCATCCTTAGTCTCCTTCCTTGGTTTTTAGACAGATGAGGAGATGTTAAGGAAGAGCAAATAGGAAATTGAACTGCTGTATTACATTGTAACACTGTGAACAAGAGCAAGAGCACAACTTGCAGCCTTGCCGTGTCCTGTGTGGGGATTTGTTCATGCGTTGCAGGCACCGGTGCTTCGCCCCTTGTCCGGGGACGTCCTGAGCCTCAGCTGGTCTTTGAAGTGCAGGTCTGCTGTCAGCTGCGGGAGCTGCAAGACTGCAGGAACGCACATAACGACTGAGCTGCTGTGAACCCCTAATCCACTCACCCCCAAGCAGGATCTTTCTTCTCACCCTTTCTTCCTCCTCCAGCACTTCTTGCCAAGTGTCTTAAGCAGATGCAATGTCTTAAAGCAGATGCAAATGCATTTGCCATCTTCTCTGTTAGGGAAATGGTGGCTCTGTGATATGTTATAATTAGAAAGTAGTGGGGAAGAGTGTCCTGAAAAGATTTGCTCTCAGGCTAAAAGGACATTTCACCCTGTCGGTCTCTGTCACCTTCTCAGTGTGCTGGCTCTCGTGGTCCGCAGGAGAAGGAATGGCTGAGATCCATGGATAATTGGAAATCGCATCACAGCTCTTTGATCTGACATTCACAGATAACCTTTATTAGAGTTGTTAAGTTAGAAACTGTTTCCCCAAGGCCCAAGAGCAATTAAAAAATCCAGAAAGAAAAGCATAGCCTTTTATAAGAGCTGTGGTTTTTGGCTCCCCTCTACCCCCACCCACCGAATCTGTTCATTAAAAAAGTGGCCAGAGCTATTGGCTAAAATTGGTTATGGTGGATGAAAGTGGAGAATGAATAAGGAAAAAGTATGCAGGATTCTTCTTTATATAACTCTCCATCCCACTTCTTAATAAAATTAAAGCCACTCCACCTCAACTAAACCAAGTAGGGTTAGTTCTGGTACAACACATGAGCTTATTATTCAGTTCTTATGTTTGTTTATTGAACACCTTAAGACCTGTAGTTTGTGGCCCTCGATTGGGTCAAGCCTCGGCTCTAAATGTCCATTTACTCCAGCCTGACCCTTCAGAGTGCTTCTTGGGGCTAGCCATTGGGCATCAGGATCCCATGGCGCTTACCTGCTGTATTGTTATTACTTACGCTGATACCTACTCAGCTATGCTAATTCCTGCAAAGGGTTTGCCGAGTGCCGTCCCAAGCCCATGAAATCCGAGTTGCAGTTTGCAGTCAACGCAGCTGTCAGAAACAAGGTTGCAATCCATACTGTAATACCAGGTTGGGCTTGTTTCTTTTTTGTGGAAGTTTGTATCTGCAAATAATATACTGCCCTTAAGACCTAATTTGCAATTCCACAGGAAGGCTTAATCCAGCAGCCCTTCCGGCAAGGACCCTTCCACAGTGTCAGAATCCTGACGGGCATCCGGAGACCTTGGTGTTCAAAGAAATGAAAAGCTTAGGATTTTCTAGTATTGTTGCCACTTTTTGTGTCTGCCAGTCAGCTCACCCCCTGCAGATTCTTCACAGGCCCCGGATGCAGAAATCAGTTCCATATATTAGTGAGTCATGTGCTGTTGGATGCTGGGCTTACGGGGTGCAGTGGCTGACAGACAGCCCTCTGGACAGCGACCGCATCCAGGACAAGTGGAGTTTGGTTGATTGTGCAGGGGCTTTTATTCTTGGGCTAACATCTCTAGGAACCGAGACTGTGACGGACACTCGCTTCGTGGGAAGCTGGGCTCCCTTTTCTTTCTCAGTGGGTTGGACTCCACCGTGCAGCCTTAGGACACAGAGCCTCGCTCTGCTCTCCCTTTGGGACAGCAGAGTTTAAGTGAACGTTGCTGCATCCCATTTCTCAAATTAAGTTGTGACACAAGCTTTGTCTCCATGCTGGGTGTTGATCCCTGTGCTCTACACAGACGTTTGAAGGGGCGGCCTCTGGGCTTGGGTCGAACCTTTTACCTAGTCTCTGCTCTGCCTCTGCAGGAGACTGACCTAAGTAGCAACGCTTGATAACCAGCCGACTGTCCTGCATGTGTTTTTGAAAGGGGTGGGAAGGGTGGGAGCAGGGGTGGATCCTGCGTAAGTTATTGAAATGCCGACCCCCATTCAGTAGACGAGTGGCCCCTGCTCTTCCTTCGCCGGGGCTCAGGTACCCCTCCCCGGCCGTGCGCAGCCCCGGGTCGGGTCAGTCTCCGCCAGCCGCAGCCCGCAGCGCAGCAGTCCTGGCTCCCGCCGCAGAGGCCGCGCGGACCTTCCTGGCCGGCACTGGGAAGGGGAAGGCTGTTTATTTTTGTGTTGTGTATGTTTTGTCGTGGTCTGCTGACTCCCTGTTTCACTGAGAGCGACACTTACCTCAATAGTTAGTTCAATATTGTGTGTTGAATAATTTTTAAAAGAACTTTTTAAAAAGCTTTTTGATCCTTGGAGGTCTGTAGATTTATTTCCGTATGAACTGGTTATTTTGTATAAAGTATGTTCTAAAAATAGCAAGGCTCTGCTGCGTGTGTGGTGTGTCCACGCGTCACTTTTATCTCCAGGGCAAACCCAGAGCCCCATCAGGACGAAGGTGTGAACTGGGCCACAGTGTCATCCCCCCAAAAGTGCCGTCCCCGTCTCGATTCTGGTTCAGGAGGATCTGGGACAGCGGGGTGGGCGGGTGCGCGCGGTGCGGGCTCCGCAGAGGTCAGAGCGGTGGGAGAAGGCCGTTGTGCGCCTCTGGGCAGAACACGCCTCGTGGCCAACACCGTCCGCGCCACCTTGAGCGTCTGCCACCCCCCAGCCCTTGGCACGTCACTGGTAGGGATTGGGGCACATAATTTGATCCCGGTCCAGCGGGGAGTGGGGGGGTTAAGAGCATGGTTGGTGGTGGGGGAGCCGTCTGTGAAGGCCTGGCGGCCAGGAGAGGGCGCCGCAGGCTAAGGAGTAGGTGCTTGCCCTGGCCCACATTATTTCGTTTTTATTTCCAGTTCCTGGGAGGCTTTTTGCTATGGGGAGGGGTGGGGGGCTGGGGTTGGAGAATAG